CAAACCAGAATTTATATATACTGAGTGAATGCCCGTCATTCATGTGACGATAAATGCTTTTTTTTTTTCTTCGGATCAGAAACATATTTTCAAAAATTACATCACAGTAAGAATATATATAAAAATATAATTTTTTTTAGTATTTCACGAAAAAAAAATAGTGTATATTTTGTCATCATCTTGATTAGAATTTTGGGCTTGTGTATATTTTGCTGTTATGTTCAAATCTGCTTCTTGATAAAGCGGAATAATATATGGTTTTGGGTCCTTTTTAATTCACCATACAATAACCTGAATTAATTTAGATATGTGAATAATGTTATGGCATTGCGCCTAGTTTATTATTCTATATTATACGGCTAATTAACTGCTGTTTAATAATTGAAAAGAGAATCTGTGGCATAGAAATTCATTCCTTCATTGGCCTTACCTTGTGGACTGCAGTTCCGCCTATTCAAGGGTCATCAAGGAACTTATTAGATTTCTGCATCGCAGATTCTCTTTTGAATTTTACATTTGGTGAATAAAACCAACATATATATATATATGGGTTACTGATTGATTGTAACCGACAACATTTAATCTCACATGAATATTTAAAGGATATTCTGCGTAGTTTGCAAAGATGCTAATTATTTATCTACAAATAAAACGATGAGATATTACTACTTTCCCTATTTAGTTCTTTGTTCGCTGTCAGATTCTCTGTGAAGATCCATTCTAAGAAAGATCAAGAAGGCACTGTTTAGATGACATTCTGAGGTGGAGAATATTAGGATGAATGGAAGAGACGAGATGTTGCCCGGAGATGTGTCAGAGGCCGTTCTAGAGCCACGACATATCAAACTGACCATTATCTGGCTTTAATTACCAGACTCCACAGAGCCCTTAGTTGGTCAACGCGTACGAGAGTCATCCACAGCTACGGGAAAATCTGTATTGAGACAGACCGTAGCCCAAAACCCTCATGAGAGGGTTGTGTATGCCAGACGCCCAGTTGTTTATGTCCCGCTAACACTCTCCCAGAACCAGGTCCGTTTATTCTAATGTCGCTAACATCTGGAGTGAGATCAACAATGCTGGTGCAATATTAGATTCATGGACGAGTCAAGATTCTGCCTTGAGACTGATTCTCGACGTAGGTTGATTTGGAGAGAGCGGAGAACTCCATATAATTCCTCAAACACTGCGGAACGGGACCACTACAGAAGTGGTAGTGCTTGGTCTGGTCATACATTATGACCAATTATCGCACAGACCCTTCTCGTATTTGAAGACAGGTTCTTAACTAGTCTGCAAATAGATATGATATACTCTGATAGTATGTTCATGTTTTCAGCGGTGCTGTTGGCACCGATTTCATTTTAATCGATGATAACGCTCCCAACATTGGGCTCGGCTGGTGGATCAATACCTTGAAAGTAAAAATATCGCCCATATGGATTGGCCATCGAGGTTAACGGATCTGAACCCCATAGAACATGCCTGGATTTGCTCTACAGAGGTTGGTTTTCAATCGTCAACCGTCTCCAAGTGCCTTTGGGGAGCTTAGATATGTCATCGTACAGAAGTGGAACTTGTTTTCTTTCATCATCTTTTTGGATAACCCCATTTCCTACAGAAGACGTTGCAAAGCGTATATTGATATAAAGGGTGATTATATCCCTTGTTAGGTGCATTTTGCTTATTAAATTCGATACTCATCGTTTGGAATTACTTATTTCATGGTCATAGCCAAAGGAAAAAAAAAGCCAGTAATTTTCCTTTCTACGTGTAATTACACGTTTCCTTTAAGAGTTTTTCAAGAAATCTGTGGTATCCAAAAAAAATCGTCGTTCACGGGATTCAAAATCGTTATTTTTCATTATCAATGCTATTATTTCGTCAGTTGTTAAAATTACCGCGATTCAAATAATATACAAAGATTGCTTCAGTTATTCTATACTTCCTGCATTTTTTTTATCTTTATTTCTCTCTCTCTCTCTCAAACACACACAGATTTCCACAAAATATGTTATGCACTTAACAACTTGGCCTTGAAAAAGTGTTAAAAAACTCGCTTTGTGACGCCTTCTTTACTAGAACAGATGCGCCTGCTTGACCCTAGTTGTGGTTATTGCCGCGAACTATAGGCGTTACATGGATGTTGAACCAATAGGGATTATCGCTCAGAACTACAGGGGTTACATGGATTTCGGACCAGTGGTGGTTATCGCTCAGTACCACAGGCGTTGCATGGATTTCGGACCAGTGGTGGTTATTGCTTCGAATTATTGGCGTTACGTGGATTTTGGATCAGTAAGGGTTTTCTAAAGAAGCGTTAACCGCAACCGAATTAAATTTCAGTTGATTTAATTTCTGACTAAGTAAGCCTCCTGACGCTAGGTTGACATGCAAACCTGTTTTGGATTATTTTGAATCCAAAAGCGGAAACACTAAAATCAATTTAAGACTACCTCGGTTGCATTGCGAAGTTCTATTTGACTGTTGTAGTCGACGAAATTACTCCCTTCCACCCCCATCCCAAAAAGAGATCTGGTATCCCTTCTTTTTTTCTGTAAATTAAGCATTGCTGACAACTTATTTTACGTTAGGTTGAAATACATTTCAAAATATACGAAGATACTGATGTTAGGTATAAGGTATGGGACTAAATCATTCTTAACATGCAATGGCCTTTAGTGGTTAGAGCGCAATTTATGGGTCAGGAGATCGAAAATCGTCACCGAACATGCTTGCCCTTCCAGTTGTGGTGCTGTTATAATGTGAAGGTAAATCCCAATTTTCGTCAGATCAACAGTAAACGGTGGGCAGTGTGTACTAGCTGCTTTCCATTCAGTCAAAATCAGGGACGACTATTTAAAACTGTCATTTTATGAAGAGAAGTTTTGAGGATTTAAACGTGGTTCGCGCCTTGTTATCTAAAAAAAAAAAAAAAAAATGGCGCACAGCACATTGTGACCATGGGTGCGCGATAAGAGCAATAGTCAAACCTAACTCTCCGATTTAAGTAGCCCATCTAGTGACTAGATGGAAGACATCTGGTTAACATCTCCAACTGATGGGCAACTCTAATCGGATCTAGTCATCACTTCAAAATTAGGAACGGGTAGCGCAGTTAGCTTTTACACGAAATTACAACAAATAACAACTAATCCAAGATTTCGATTTTTGTCTCGAGATTTGATTATTAACCCTTTCATTTCCAACGTAATCATAAGTAGATTTTGTTTTTCAGGTAAAATATAAGAATAACCAACTATGGAGATTATATTGTAACATAACCTCAAAAGTCATGCTTTCATTACTAACCAGTCTTCAAAGAATTTCACTTGTCGTGTAATAACTTAAAGCAAAAATTGTGGGTTACTTTAACTTTTTTCTTAGGCCTGGCATGGCCAGTTGGTTAGGAAGCTTGACTCGCAATCTGTGGGTTCGAATCCCCGTCCCACCAAACATGCTCGCACTTTCAGCCGTGTGGGCGTTATAATGTGACGGTCAATTCACTATTCGTTGGTAAAAGAGTAGCCCAAGAGTTGGTGGTGGGTGGTGATGACAAGCTGTCTTCCCTCTAGTCTTTCACTGCTAAATTAGGGACGGCTAGCGCAGATAGCCCTCGTGTTACTTTGCGCGAAATTCAAAAATACAAACAAGCAAACTTTTTCTTTGTGTGTGTGTTGATTTTCAACAAAAACAAAGTATGCATTTTTAACACGCTGTTTTACTTTTTTAATAGCTCTAGGAGAAAAAAACGATAACTTTGTTGCCTGTCCGAAAGAAGCATTGTATTGGAAGAGTCGGCGCTGGAGGATGTTAGAAGAAATTCTCACTTATGAGGCCGACATCCTGTGCTTTCAGGAAGTGGACCATTTTAACTTCCTTAAGAAAACGTTGGAAGCGATAGATTTTGCCGGGACATTCTTCCCGAAGCCTGACTCTCCGTGCTACTACATTAAAGGTAACAACGGCCCAGATGGTTGTGCGATATTTTATGATACTAATAAGTTTGACTTGTTGAAAACCGAGATTCGTATTCTAGAAATCTGTTCATGTCAGTCCAATCAGGTAATGATTTTGTGCATTTTTCGGCGAAAATCAGATGGACAAGAGTTTTGTGTAGCGACTACGCATCTCAAAGCTCGCCAGGGAGTGTTATTATCTTCAGTAAGAAATGAACAAGGAAAGGACTTGCTAGAATTTATCAGGTTACACCATGACCAGCGGCCAGTTATTATCACTGGTGATTTCAACGCCGAACCATCGGAACCAGTGTACAGTACATTAACAACGTGCGCTGAGCTCAAGCTAGACAGTGCCTATGCATATCTCAGTAATCAGCACGCGGAGCCACCTTACACCACTTGGAAGATCAGAGAAGAGGGGGAAGTCTGTCACACTCTAGATTACATATTTTTCAGTAAGGACACCATGGAGCTACAGTCCTTATTAGTCTTCCCATGTGGCGAAGACATTGGTGAGGATCGTGTCCCATCTTATCGCTATTCATCCGATCACTTTTCTCTAGTCTGTGACTTCCGTTTTAAGTAATACTTGTACAGTATGTAATGCTCTGTTAATAAAGGCCCTCCATCTGATAGCTAGATCTAATTGAAGTACCAAAAACACAGAATGCTAGGCTGACAACAGAAAGCCGATACTCACGTGTCCCAAAAGCGAGTTAACCTGCGTACACAATAACGATTACAAGACTCAGTGTTAACAGGAGAGCAAAGACTAACGGTATTACAGATATAATTAAAAAACGAAACTGATCGAGAAAATCGGGTCTCCTTGTGGTTTTTAAAACAATTTTTCAACACCTGTAGATATTTTAATTCTTAATCTTTCCATGTATTCGTAATCTTGTGAAAAGAGGTCAGTAGGGTTATCTGTTACTGTAGTGATAATGAAAGATGACAGTTTGCCCCCAAAAAGAAACATCAGCCTTTCAAAAGCGTTCGGATAATAGAGTATCCTATTTTTGTGACCCCTCATTTGCGTTAGGTTATTTTCGTGCCATCGTCACTCGTTATAATGAGTCAAAATATTCTTGTTTATTAGCTTTTTTTTTTGTAAAGTTAACAAACATTTAATGATCCGTCAACGTGCTGTTGATCTTGTTTCTTAAACTGTTCATTTATACTTTGCTTTCTGTTATACTTGATTTATTACCAACTTTTTTTTAAATAGAAGAATTACATCTGAAAGCACATAAAATTTTCAAAAAACCTGCTAGGTTAGACAGTTTAACTTGTGTTTACACTTCCAAGAAAAACGAGAATTACAATCCTAACGTGTTAGTGTAAGCTTTATGAGAGTTTTTCTGTGAAAATGGTTTCGCAATTAGTACAAAAATAAACTTTTAAATACAGCCTTTTTTACAACCACCAGGCCACTTCAAGTCAAAACGAGCTTGGCGTGATTTAGTGAACAGTAGACCGGGCTGTGTATTATACGATCCACTGTTTTCATCCCATTATCATAAAAAAAAAAAAATCGCGTTACGCACGTTGAGGCCATGACTGCTTTACGAGAGTGACAGTCAGATCCCGTTATCCGGTCTGATAAGAGTAATCCAATTATTACTGTTGTTATTAAGAACTAGAACGTTTGACTGTTAATAAACCCATACAGCCACAACCAAAGAATATTAACTTTTGGTAATCTAATCAGCTTGTACAAATAAAATTTGTCGAAGTATTATAAATTCGTAGAAACAAAAAAAAAAAACATTTTGGGGTAATTTCTAGATTCATCTATTTTATTCGTTGTTGCAAAATATGTTTTATTTTTGATACACACGAAAGTTTAACATTGAGAGTGATTTTGAGTTATATATAATTATTAGTTTTTTGCATTGAACAAGATTTAATGGTGCTGATATAATTTTTGTCTTAATTATTTGTCTGTAGTTATTGTTCACCTATTGAGTGGCCTGTCTCTGAAATCTCGTATTTTTGATGTCAGGGTAATTAAACATAATGTAGTATAGGAAACAGAAGTGGGTATAGTTAATTAAGTTGTACCATAAATCTTAAAACGATGTCGTGTCGTTCCACATCTATACCGCATTCATCAGTCTTTGTATATTATTACGTTATATAAGAGATGTTACTTTTACATACAGCAAATTATAGGATTAGAATACTCATCTTTTGTTTCATACTCTATAACAAATCTAGATGCAAACGATTAGAAAAATAATTGTCTGGAATACGCATTTATGATTGTAGATCACGAGCGCCAAAAATACGAGTATTATGCACGAACTAATTTGTACTCTCGTGCTTACCTTTACTTTTGTTTCATAGCTTGATTTAGATAACTTGTATCACTAGTATAATTTGCTGTTGTTGTTGATGATTGTTTAATAAAGAAGAAATATTTATAAAATAAAAATTCATCAGAAAAATATGTTTCGGTTTAAATTTACACACATTAGTATGACTGTAATTATAAATTTTACTATGCTTAAGACTTCCAATAGTCGATTGAAAAAATAAGCGAAAAGTTGTTATGAAATTAATACAAACTCAAAGTAATAAAGCCCTAAACAAATTTACTAGCTAAACCTGATTTGGAAGAACAAGGTGACGACAAGGACAGATATGGTTATATAAGTCCGTATATTTGTAACCTTGTTTTTAATTAAAGATTTTTCTTAGAGAAGCCATAATACCCGAGTATTACCTTTATTTAAAACATGATAATTTTTAGAATTTTCGTTTGTTTTTTTATTGAAATAAGATTAAATTGAGTTGAGTGTTTTATAAGATTTGATTACACAAAAACGTTGAAAGATTTTGTTATATATTTTTTAAATTATATTTTCAATCAATTTACCTGGATTAGCTTAAAAATAATTCTTCGCTTGATTTCTTTTTTATCCAAAACAATTTTTCTAGTACAATTTAATTCATAACCGATATATAATTTTTTTCTACAAATTTCAGTATCCACATTAGGCCTAGTGTTGTCCAGTGGTAAGTGTGACAGGCTGTGGATCTACGAGTCGGGTGAATGCGCACCATTGCCTTCAATAAACAAAATATCTTGCTTTGCACTTAAAAAAAAAACCCAACAACAACTAAAAAAACCGTGGCAGGTATTTAGTTTTTAAAGGAAAGATTAACTTTCCTAAACTGGGGTGTTCAAGGATATTGATATCTCCCCTTTGCCCCGCTCGCGAGAAAGAAAATTTTGCTAAGATCGTGTTAATTAATATCTGCTAATTGGTAGGTGTGAAGATTTGGCAGATGTCCGGGAGTCCAGGAAGCAGAGAGAAGACCAAGGCTGATGACGACGTTGATTAGAAGAAGAGATAACAACAGTCGACAAAGCATATCTCAACAAACGCCCTATAAACAGGGTCACATAGTGGCTGACATCTGTAAATTCATATATATATATATATACATACACACACACTTTGGGACCATGGGTACGTTACAAAGGTGACGGTTAAATTCCATTGTTTTAGGCAAGAATTGGATTGCTCCTAGTCTTATCAGTTCAAAATCAGGGACAGATGGTTCGCGAGTAACTTTGCACGAGTATTCGAAAAGAAACATGTTTCGCCATCTGTTGACACTTTGGTGCATTGCGACATAGCAACAAATGATGGATAAAATATTAATATTATATATGTTTAATTGTTAACAAAATAAACTAAACTAAAAGCTTTTTATCTAATGAAGATGAATCATTACGTTTATTGTGAAAATTATTTTGGAAATTCCAATCGTAATCTTTATTTGAAAAAAATTACGTATGACGTCGTGTATCGATCAATTTGTACACTTGACTTTTATATGAAAGAAATGCCCGCACATAAAATATGAAAGCAAAATTATTTCGTACATTTTAACTATATATGTATATATATATACATACAAAATTTCACTCATTCAAATCTACTGAGAAAATTTCACTATAATTTGAGTTTGTTTGTGTGTCCTCTAATTCCCCCCCCCCCCCAGTGGTACAGCGGTATGTCTGCGGACTTACAACACTGGAAATCGAGTTTCGATACCCCTGGTGGACAGAGCACAGATAGCCCATTGTGTAGCTTTGTGCTAAACTTCAATATAAACAAACCTCTAACTCTACCTAGGCTTTTGCATTTGGACCCGTAAAATATGGTTTAATAATTAGAAATGATTCAGGATGTGTCAAGAAGAAGTTATTTTTCTTTTAAAATGCATAGATTTAATAGCTCTAGTGCTGGTGGCTAAATATAGATCAATCATAGGGGTATTGATGGGATTTCTCCAGTTACTTCTTTCATGTACACATAATCTATGTACGTTCAATCCTTACTGGCATATTTAGGACGGAAACTACTAATATCTAAAACTGAAAAAAAAAAAAACATTCTACAATTGCATTTCGTTTTCAAATCCCATCAATTATTTCACGGATTTCTTTTTCACATATTGTCTATACATACTTTCAAGATAGAGACATATATATATATATATATATATATTAAGTGAGATGTTTTTGGGTCGTATGTTACTTATTGCTTTTCGATAAAAAAAATTAAAATATTATTTAAATATCCAAGCCCAGCGGACATGAGTAATTTAATTCTTATGTTCTTTCAGTCCTTATATCGCCACTAGAATACTTCAGAAGAAATCAAAGATTTTTATATTTGATCAATAATTTACTTGGAGTAAGGAAGCATATTATGCTAATATAATAATAGGTAAACAAACTGATTTATAAGCATAAGGAAAATGTTTTTATTGCTGGTGGAACATACTTCACCAATGTAAATCGTGCTATACAATTTTGCACCTACGAAGAAGACTTACTTATTGAATTGAACTACCCAAATAACATAGCACTATCTAACCAAAATATCTAAATAGAGTTTGTAACAAACTTCTAAACAGTGAAAATATTATGTTAACTCTAACCTTTCACCTACCAAGAACACAAATTTGTTTCATTCCCCTTTATGCCAGAAACTGCTAACAAAATTACTAGCCTTTTTAACAATTCGAGCATTGAGGTAAAAACTGTATTCAAACCTTCACATAAAATTAGCATCTTACTACCTAACCTCAAAGAATCCCTATTAAAAGAACAAAAACGGGGCATATACAGTATCTTATGTGATTGGGAAAGAAATATATAGGACAAACGTCACGTCCATTAGAAACAAGACGCAAAGGGCACATGCGTAGAGGCGATTTCCAGTTATCCGCTTTAAGGATCAAATTCTTTTCCTGCACCAACCCAAAACTAAAAAAGAAAGAGACTGTTTAGAAACTATAGAAATCAACAAAGAAAATGATCTCTTACTAAACCGTGATAATGGCGCTAACAACATCAGCCGTATTTGGCAAGGTCTATTCACCGTTCATACACTTGACCTCTACCTATATCCTATCACTTGCTGACACCATTTCCGTGACATTTAATTCCCGTGTCTTTTGTCATTGTAACGATATATAAACCTTGGATTACTTTGTACAGATCATACATGTAGAAGACAGACCAATGCTCTCTTGAAACACGTAGTATGTTCCACCGTCAATAAAACGTATCCTTATGTTTATAAATCATTGTTTGCCTACCTGTTATTATATTAGCATAATTGTTAAAATTTTAGTTTCCAGATCTCGTCAATCATTTAAGAGATTTAATATTCATTGATATAAACGGGTCGTAAAAACAATGTGTGTTTTATTATAAGACATCTAAATACACACACATTTCCTTTTTGTATTTCACATGTCAGTGAGGGTGTAATCATACCAAAGAAAGTACGCAAGAGAAGCTTACCAAGAACTGAAAGAAAAACGATTGTGAGTGCATACATAGCCACAACTCACCCCAGTAAAGATGTAGCCACAGATAAAACGAAACAATGACCCATCCCTATAAAATCAATTAATGAATTATATACATGATTTAATAACTTTCCAAAACCTCTCACTGTGTATCGCACGGGTACATCTGCTAGTAGCTATTATTTTAATTTTATTATAATTCTAAAAGAAAAAAAAATCCTCGTAGTAATTTGTTTTATGGACACATTAATTGTATTCAGTGGTTCAGCGTTAAGCTTATGTCTTATAACTATAAAAATAGGGGTTCAATACGTGCTGTGGGAACACTGCACATAGTCCATTGTGAAATTTTGTGCTTAAAAACAAACACTTATATTCTTACGGTTACTGTTCAAGTGAGAACAAGAGGTACTCGTATTTTCAAGTTTTATACCACTATTTTTTTTTTATAGAAATTAAGGTTGTAATGATAAATAAACCAAATAGTTTTATTGGTAAGGGTTAATAATTCTGTTGTTAAAGTCCGTTTGAACTTGAAACATCGCAGGTAAATTTAAGAAAAGTATTTTGTAAGTATGTCACTTACACTATAGCAGTTGATTTGGCGTTACGTCGAATATTAATCTCTTCTGTACCTAAATCACTACCTTTACTAATTCAAACCAAACAAAATCAGAAATCAATATAAGTGTCCCTCACTGGAAAGTCAACAGGCTTACGACGCTAAAAATCGGATTTCGATACCCTTCTTGGTTGCTTTGCGCTTAAAAATAATCAAACCAGTATTAGCAATTATACAATGAGCTTGGATGTGCTTAAGTCTCAAGCTGGCTTAGCGGTAAGCTAAAGGGCTTATAACACCAGAATACGGAGTTACATCCCCAAAGTGGATGTCACGCAGATAGTCCGTTGTTGAGCCTTGTGCTA